ACAATGCCTAGCGGTACTCATTCGTCGAAAAAAAAAGAAGAACAACAGAAAGATTATTCAGATGGCCAATTTTAGAAATCCTAACCAGATTCGGATTTGATTGACCATTGGCCGCACAAATTGCATAACTTTTGAAATAAAATGCAAACTACATTGATGTAAATGTCGCGCGCAACTCTTGATTAGCAAACTAGGTATCTTTGAATGTCAGTTCAAACAAAACACATGCGCGAGGAAAAGAGGAAGTTACTTATTGTTAGTCAGAGCAAATCTTTCTTCCGTTTTCTTCATAAGTGGAACCAGGCAAGAGGACTTGACAATTTCAAGCTTTTTTCCATAAAACTCACTAGTCAGAGCCTGTACCCGCTTCTGAAGGAAAAAGAGACAGTTGGAAAGAGATAGCTGGAAGGTAGATTAAGAGATAGTAGGAATCAGTCCTCGGCATGAGGACTCCGATTGGACTCTTCGAAAACGAATGACCCTTTGAATCATGAAATATTTACGGTGTCCCTTTTAAGCATGTAAAAATTTCATTACCTCTCAAACTATGTGAAATTTTGTTCGCTGCTAAGAAAACTGAATTTTATTTGGGAAGTATTGGCGAATATAGCTAGTTCTAATTGGAATAAGTCTTCTGTTTTGTCGCCTGACCAATGTTAAGCGATTACGTTGTTGACAGCGCTAGTGCGTCAACTTTTCCTGTCACCCTATATCGAGTGGACGCTTGATGAAAATTTAGCTTTTAAAAAAATCAACTCGCTCTCCTCTCTGCCCCATCTGCTCCTCTATCCTGCAATATTGCATCCACTCATGCCAACAATTATGGAATGTGTCTTCTAAATGTTACAAATGAGAAGGAACTTACTCAGGAACAAAAACAAACTTAACAAAGAACAAAATTGGATGTGAACAAAATTAATTTCAATTCCTTCTAACTTTTTGTTACATAGTTGACCCATAACGCTTGCATTGGTTTATGAATATCGCATAACAATTGTGTAAAGTGCGAAGTAATTATGAAAAAGGGTTTTCAAAGGTGAGGAAAAGCCGAATTTCAGTCTGTGTTGTGGAACAGACAGTTCATTACACTTTCAGATGATGCAAGGTTGTGTTTGGTATGATCAACAATGGAGATATTGTTGTATGCATAAGCCTCCCAGTGGCGCTTACTCATGTATAATGTAAGGTAATTAATTTGAAGCAACTCTCCCTTTGCCATTCAATTTTGAAGCACCGGTAAACGTGTACGGTCACAAACAGACATCTCGATTTACTAGCTATCAGCCATCAGAACGTACTACACGTTAACATTATTCAGGTAACGAACACAACCATAGAAATACATAATTTTTTTCGTCAATCAATCAAATTTGTTTTTTACCAACAAGTGCGAGGAGCATAATCTTTATGATAATTTCGTACTTCCTGCTTTACATAGCTCTCGCAGCATGTCTTGCTACTACAGATGTAATCATTGGAAAGTTTGTCGTTATTTCACTGGCTGAAGTTTTGAGAATTTTGCAGTGGCCTTCGAGATCCTTCCTGATCAACTGAATGTTCCGTTCAATGTTCGCAATAATTTTGCCATTTAAACTTTGTGAAGAACTCCGACTATTCACTTACGTAGTAAAATATCTAAAGTTATGCGTAACGACGACTAAAGGGAAGAACACAGAAAGAAACTGAGTGGAATAATTTGAATTTTTGAGCCCCTTATTTGACAATTGCATGCTCTTCTATGTGCAAAAAGATACCCGCCGCGGAACTCCTTTCTAGATCAGCTAAGATGTGGTTGTAAGTATAGTTGAGACCGAAAATTCGTGTATAAAGTATTCGAACATTTTGAATAATTCGCATATTCAAGGAGACGCTTCTATTCGACTTTTCGAATAGTTGAAAATTCGAAAAAAATGCATTTGTTCGGTCATTCGAATAGTCGAATATTTTCAGACATCGACATTCGAATGTTGAGTTTGAGTGGTTTTTAAACTGAGATCTGAATATATTCGACCGTTCGAATGTCGCAAAATTATCGAATACGATTGAGATTGAGTATTTAAGTTTGACTGATATATTCGAATAATTCGATTATTTACCATCCGAATAGTTGAATATAAAAAAAAACGCACTTGTCACTCGAATATTCGAATATCAGGACCCCACCATTCGAATATATTCTAAATGGCGATTCAAATATCTTCCTTCAAATATTATCAAGCACAAAAATTCGACATTCGTTCAAGAAATTTTCCGAAGGTTTCAATTATAAGTAGTAAGTATTAGGTTGTCTTATAAGGTTATGTCGTTTTTTCAGAAATGAAATTTTCTTGGGAACCAGAAGTTTTGGCAGAACATCATATAGCTTTTAAAAGATGAAGGTCCCTTCTGTAAGAAGGTATACTTGGCTTATCCAGCAATTTCAGCCTTTGTTAAATGAGAAGTGATTGAATTGGAATAGGGAACCGAAAAAAGCTCAACCGACAGCTTAATTCAATGGAAATGCAAGAAGATTGAAAATTGCCATAACTACCATTTAGGACAATCGGATATGCTGATTACAAAAAATATAGCTTAGTTATATAGTACAGTGAGTCAGTTAACTCTAGCAAACCACTTTTCATGCGGATATTTAGGTCGTAAAGAAAGTTCTTGCGGTTTTTAACCATTAACTTTAAATAGACATAACTCCGCTTAGAATAAACTTTTTCAATCGAAATAAGAACCATTACAATCAACACATTTCTGCCAACGAGGAATAAGTTCATTTATGCCGCTTGGGTAGAAGCCCGGCTTCTGGAGACCACGAAAGCGTTGAAGGCGTTCTTGGCATCGTCTTGGTTTTTGAAGCATTTGTCGCGGAGG